TCATGTTCCTATGCCTGCACACGCACAGCAACCTCATCATCTTTCTTGCTGTAGAGCACTTACACGCACTGCTCTTTCATGATCAGTTGCCCGTGGGGTGGGGGGGGTGGGGGTGGGGTGGGGTGGGGTGGGGTGGGATGATAACGTTCATGTTCCTATGCACACACAGGCACAGCAACCTCATCATCTTTCTTGCTGTTGGGAAGAGACAGGCACAGCTCTTTTATGATCAGTTACTGGTGGGGTGGGGTGAGTTAATAAGGTTCATGTTCCTATGCCTGCACACGCACAGCAACCTCATCATCTTTCTTGCTGTAGAGCACTTACACGCACTGCTCTTTCATGATCAGTTACCCGTGGGGTGGGGGGGGTGGGGTGGGGTGGGGTGGGGATGAGATGATGAGCGTGAGATGAGAGGAGTGGTGTGAGACGAGTTCTGTGAGTTGTGAGATGAGTGGAGTTGTGTGAGATGAGTTGTGTGAGTTGTGAGATGAGTTGTGTGAAAGAACTTGGGTGAACTTCAGTGAGAGAACACGAAAAACAGCTCCACCAAATGGCACACGAAAGCAGCTCTTGAGTGAGTTGAGTTGTGTAAGATGAGTTGTGAGAGATGAGTTGTGTGAGATGAGTTCTGTGACTTGTGAGATGAGAGGAGTTGTGTGAGTTGTAAGATGAGCGGAGTGGTGTGAGACGAGTTCTGTGAGTTGTGAGATGAGATGAGTTGTGTGAGTTGTGAGATGAGTGGAGTGGTGTGAGACGAGTTCTGTGACTTGTGAGATGAGAGGAGTTGTGTGGGATGAGTTGTGTGAGTTGTGAGATGAGTTCTGTGAAAGAACTTGGGTGAATTTCAGTGAGAGAACACGAAAGCAGCTCCACCAAATGGCACACGAAAGCAGCTCTTGAGTGAGTTGAGCTGTGTAAGATGAGTTGTGAGAGATGACTTGTGTGAGATGAGTTGTGTGACTTGTGAGATGAGACGAGTTGTGTGAGTTGTGAGATGAGTGGAGTGGTGCGAGACGAGTTCTGTGACTTGTGAGATGAGAGGAGTTGTGTGGGATGAGTTCTGTGAGTTGTGTGAGACAACTTGGGTGAAGTTGAGAGAGAAAGAAGCAACTCAGGAGGAGAAGGAGGAGAAGGCAAGGAATACAAACCTAAAAACAAAAGCCCCACACAGAGATGTGAGGAAAAAAACATAACTTGATGAGTTGTGTGATGATGTTTTAAAAAAGCTAGAAGAAGAATCATGTTACAGAGATACAATGACAAAAACACACAACAAAAATGTGCACAGACGACCAACCGTCTGACGTGCACAAACGACCCACTTTTGACGTGCACAGACGAACCCTGAACCCCTCTTGCAAGTAACACTCAAGTGTAGTTTGCGACCGGAGCCTCATCAGCCAAAGAAGGTCCTGAATTGGCTTACCAGCTTTGTAGTGATACACAGCGGCAGCACCTCTCAAGCCGCCCGGCGTCAAACCAAAAGACTTGTCAATCCCCAACAACTGAAGGATTTGATCCTACCTCTTGCAGTACTGGTACGGACTGGCATTGAACAGCGGCTGGTCGAGCGGTGTGCTTTCAATTGTCTTGGAGAGAACTTTGGTTGCCTTCGTGTCCATGACCTTCATGTGCTGAATCCGAGCAGCTTGTCTAAACTGACTTTTAAAGCTTCTAAGCCGCAAAAACACTGGGGAGCCAGGAGGCTCGCAGACATCAAAAGGCTAAAACCGTGGCACCAGCCCAAAACCACCACTTCATACGCCACGCCACTCAGCACATTCCGCAGACCAGAGCTTCTGGAATTGGAACTCGGTTCTGCATGAGAAAAGTCGCTCCCATTTGTCAACCAGTTCGCAGGCAGAAAACATGACCGGTCTGCTTGCAGGTATCCACCGTTGTATGGCTAGTATGAGGTGCCTCAGGTTACTCAAGGCCCCTGGGTTTCGGTACAGCCATTCCGCATAGGTCTCAACTGCCTTCACCCAAGACAGAGGGGCTGCTGAAAAGAAAAACTCGGGCTCGGCAGAAGGAAGGCGATCCTTGCATCATTGCTGGAAAAGTAGAAGCTGCTTCGCTTCAAGCGCCAAAGTCTGCGCTGAGACCAGTTGCACACCTCCCAACGTCCCATGTAGCACAGCAGGGGCGCGGCGTCGCGGTCCAGAATGAGCAGCTTCACCAAGTCGAAGACTGTCGGCCTTCGCGCGTCCAGCTACATGAAATCTTTCGCAGCCTGTCCAACCTGCTTTCTGACAAAGTGCTAAGGCCAACAGCCTGCAAAGCCCCGTGGATAGGACTGCGCCACTGCAGTCCAAGGGATTTTTCTCACATGATGCTGACCCCTTCAACCGCTGATGCGTTCGTCTGCACTTGCAAAACATTCTGACTCCCCCAAGGCGGGTGTTGGTGGCAAAGCGGGCGTCCTTACGCCAAAGCAATGCCAAAGTGGCAAAAGGAGCATTTAAAGAGCTCCTTCGATGCACTCGCCCTCCGCCTTCTCCATTTTTTCCGCAGCCAAAACCACAAAAGGTCCGGGTTCTCCACAAAGTAGGCAAGGGATTTGCATTCAGATTCAGCAACAGCATCATGCAAAAAATCGCTGTGAGAGTTCCCATCTGAAACTTTCTGTCGCATTAAATGCCGCAGCCCTGGTATGCCTCTCGGATACCTGGAACTCTGCACTGGTGGCGTCACTGCAACAGAGAAGCCTGAGCAAATTGGCGCCGCCTCCATAGTAAGAAAGCATCCTGCACGTATCATAGCTGTGATCTTCGCCCTGAGCTTCTCATCCAGCAAGTTTTCTGCCGCACTTCTGTTCCACTCGAAGGTGATGGCGAAGGGGGCTCCATATACTTCATCATCATCTTCGCCGCACCAAACTTCCCACTGCAAAGGTCCAGTCCACCAGGCTCCAAAAAACTGCACGCGCCTTCTTTGAAGAAGAACTGGCTGCGTGGGAAGCTTTACCAGAAACTCAACAGCCTCAGCGGAAAGCTTGCACCTCCGCACTGGAGGCAATGGGCTTGTGGACAAGACATTCGTGCCGACTGCTGAAGGTGACACCTTTTTCGCAGGCGGTCTGACCTTCTTGGCGGGTCTCAGGTCAAGCTCTTGTGAACCACAGATGTCAGCATAGGGCAGCAGGACTTCACCAGTAGGAGCACCAGTCGCCTCCATCCACACGTCGAAGGCGGCAAAGTCACCTTGCTGCAAATCCTCAAACCATCCAGAAAGAGCAAGGTCAGGAGGAGCAGGAGGAGGAGGGGGAGGAAGAGGACATGCATCACGCGTAGGGGCATCAGCTCTATTGGAAGCAGCGTTGCAGTACATTGGGCAACTGTAACATCACCGGCTATCGCATCTGGCATTGGTTGCTGAGGCACAGCGCTGAAGCTTCCAGAAGCAGCTCGGCCCTTCACAATTGCTCCAAGACCCATCGTGTGACCCACCTGGGAACCCATTCCGGCCCAAAAACGGCAGCTGGGCCGCGAGTTGGCTTTGCGCTTCTCCTCCAACGTAAGGGCCTGCAACAACAGGATGTTTATGTGCTTCGTTTTGTTAATTCCCCACTGCCAGCACTCACTGTACAAAAGTCCACGTGCAAGTATCTCCCACAAAGTGTGGGATCTATAGACATCCTCCGGCAGCTCCTCATCGACAGGGAGAAGACCATGTTGTCGAAGCAGCGCCTTTCCAGGCGGAAGAGACTTGGACCAAACCCCTTTTCGCAGCCAATGACAAGCAACTTCCTGCGCCACCGCCGGGTCCAGCTTTGCCTTCACTGCAGCCATCACAAACGGCGCATAAGGCGCACGGAGGTTCACCACTGTTCCCTGGCTGCTTCCAAAACATAGGGTCAAAGACTACATCCAGCAAGCTAAAGTCGCCGCCACACACCCAGAATGGATATCCAGCTTCCGGCGAGGCTCTCAAGCCTTCCAACAGTGGTGAGGCGCAAAGGGCACACACGCAAGGTAATTGCAATGCAAGGCCACGGTCGTTTCTGGCTTGCTCGCATCAGGCCCTTGATCCCATCAACTTCAACTCCCCCATGCAGTAGCTCGCGCATGGTTCAAAGGAAGCCCTTCTTTGGGTTGTTGACCAAGCCTGCAACTTCATAAGCGGCTCTGGCCATATGGATCCTTTTTCGTTCTTTCACAGCCGGCCTTCAGTATATCTCCATCATCAAAGAAGGTGCGCAGCACTTGCTCTAAGATCTGAAGCTAGCCTCTAAGACTCTAGGAATTGCCCCACGCAGGGACAAGAGCTCAGCAACCTTTGAGACACCGTGCTGCAGCAACAATCCCAAATGGGAGCATTGTGCAAACTCCACCGCGCAGCAGCGACAGAAGTCTCCCATAGCTAATGAAGACAGGCCGACAGTGACCTTTGGGAAGTGCCATGTAAACTCCGGCCCAAAGACATACTTTGCCTCATCCAAGGTGAGGCTGCCCTGCAACACGTTCCTGTTGGTCCGCACGCTGTTGACCTTGAACTGGTAATTATAGTCACGCTAATCTTCACCAGAGCTGAGGAGAACCTTATCGGGCTCACGGTAGATGGAAGCAAGGCATGCAGCGCTGGCCATCCAATAACACCATTTGTTTTGGCCCTGGTCCACCATGGCAGCTGGACGCCCACCACGCACCATTCTATCTTTCTCGGCATCCTTCGGCAGGGCGAACAAACCACTGCGGTACTTGTCCAGAAACTTTCCCTCAGAAATAGGCCGCAGCCATCTTCTTGAAGAGGTCAAGCTTTGCCTTCGGGCTCGCACGAATCTGCTCACCTTGGGAGGTTCTCCAACCGTTGCAAGGTCACGGCCATGAGTCAGCGGAAAGTCGTGCAGCTGCAAGATGCTTTTGTCAAAGAACTTTCTGGGGTCAAAACCAGGAGTCACCAAAAAGTGTAGCCGTTCTGCAATCAGCGGCCTTGCAGTAGGGTCCTTGCGCAAGTCCACTTCGCCCACAACTACAACCTTGCCACAATGCACACGAGAAGAGGCTTCATCCAAGTCGCCATCAGCATGCCGATGACCGCCGGAGTAGTTGCTCTTGGCGGAGAGCTGCAAAGACGCAAGGGCACGGGACCGAGCACCGAGGCTTTCTTCGAAGCCCTCAACTTTACCCACCGCTCGTCCCATGTCAGCCGCATGAACCGAATTCAGGGTATTGCGAAAGGTGCTCAAGTGCTCAAGCATCTTGACTGCAGACCACTGCCTCGCCATTCAACCTAGCTCCCAGCCGAAAAAAAGGGGGCGCAGCATCAGGCTTGTTCAAACTGAGCTGGTCAAAAACGCCCACTTGCATTGACACCAGCCTTTTCACATGCGACCTGGGGTCATTGCTTCCTCCAGCCATGAAAACTTCCGGATACGGCAAAGGCATTCGCCATGTAGAGCTTCCCGATGACGTATATATAGTCTGGTTCACCATTGGGCATTGGCATGATGGAATGCAAAAAACGTTGAAGGCCGCAGGGTGTTCTAATCAGCCATCGCGGCAAGGCATTGAGCAGGGCCGGAACCCTAATTGCAGAGGCACATCGGCATTGGAGTGGCCGCCACTGGCATGCAGACAGGGCACTTTCACCCCTCGGCCGTCATCGCGGCCGCCTGGCTCCTTGCTTTTGGCTTTGGTCGCGGCCGTCTCTTCGGCTCGGCTTCTGTGCACTCTTCTTGTCCCTGCTCCTTGGAGTTCTTGAGGAACTTGCCGACATTGCGCCTCTTGAGGAGGTAGTCGCCCGTCTCTTTGAGATGGGCCAAGGAAACCTCTGCCCACCGCGGATCCAAAAGGGGGCGAGTATGTGGCTCACCATCTGCAACTTGAGGAGGTCGATCTGCATTCAACGATGAGAATGGAGGGCCAGGTTCCAGCAAGAGCTCGGAAGCGAGTGTCCACAGCTCCCTCAATCGCACGAAGCTTGGTCCAGACACATCAAAAGGACTGCTGCTCGTGGTGTGGCCTTCTTGTGATTCCCTTACTTCTCGCATGGAATCTAAAATTCCGGCAACCCCTAGTGAGTACTGGGAAAAGTCCCGACTGATCTCTTCCACTGGCTGCTAGCCTTTCTGGAGCCGCTTTGCCAAAGTCGACAAGGCCATCGCGTCTCAGAACTTGGAAACTCCGGGGCAATGCTTTGGACCGATCTGAGCTGCTGTTCTTGGTTTTTCCATCGGGTTTTGATTGCATTGACGTGGTGGCCTCATGAGCATCTTGATCACCTTTATTATCATTATTACCGATTACCCCCGTTACCCCGTTACCATCAGCAAAAACCAAATCTTGGCTGACATGAAGATTCTCGGACATCTTGCCATGCTGACATTTCTGGAGTGCTGAACGTTGACGGAAGCACACTCTGTTTGATCACTCACGGTGGTGTGAGTCTCGGCAGGTATTGAAGAAATGGTTGACTCCGGCATTGGCTTCGCCAAGTCAGTCAAATCCACAAGAAACAAACCCCTGCTGGTCAAAACTAATGGAAAACTCTTATCCAACTTGGTGGCATGCAGGACATGATTGGCTGTGTCAACAGTTGCTCCTATGGCACGCAGCAAGGTGTTTGAAAGGAGAAACGGTGTATTTCCTTGCACTACTGCGGTTTTCAGCAGGAGTCCAGGAATTGGCACAACTAATGCCTGCTGGCTCCGCAAGACACCATGGTTTCCAAATCGAAAAGTGACAACGCAAGGGCAACGTGTGACCTGTTTTCGGACCTGGGGACCCTAGGTTATTCAACAGTTCAGGGACCAGTTTACTTCCAATAACTGTTTTGGTGGCACCTAGATCAACTATACCTAAACTCCCATGTGAGGCTACTTCGGAGGAGTCACAGGCTTTCGGTTCATCATCGGCAATCCCAGGCTGACAGGCATGCACACGACTTCGCAGGCGCAAACGAACAGCTTGGTCATCATGGCTGTTCCTGGCAGGCGGTGTGATCTGATTTGATGAAATTTCCCATTGATGCAATGATTTTCGGAATCGTATTTTTGAGTCATCTATGTTAATGGTCATGAAAACCTGTTCTACTCCTACTTCATGCTGAATTTCATCAAGTGCGGTCTCTTGCTGCATTGGGAGGTTCAGGAATTCCATAGGAAGTGCATCTTTTACACCCACGGCTGATGGATCGACCTGAGCAAATGAGGTCGGAGCCTGTGTGGTTCCCTGGTCGATGGTCCGGAGGCATCTCGGCGGCTTGGACATTCCGCCTTCCAGTGTCCTACCTGGTTGCAGAGTCTGCACCTTGATTCCAGAATCCGTTGCCGCAAGGACTTGCGAGACGATCCATGTCCCTTGGAGAACTTGCCTTTCACACCTTTGAACGGACCTTTGGACTTCCCCTTTGCGGAAATCGGCCAAAAGCCGCGTGAGCGCACTTTCTCATTCAGGCGCCTGCGGGCATCCGTATATGGCGTATAGGCTGCAGAAAGATCATCATCATTTTCCAACAACTCTGTTGCTGCAGCTTCGAAATCCATGACCAGCGTAGCATCTTCATCACCTTCTTGGACAAGCGCCTCGACCATTTGGTCGTCTTCCTCTGTGTTGTCCGCTATCATGGCGTATTGATCCAAATCAGATTCTTCCAGATCCTCCGCTGTGAAGGCTGCTTGATCGTAGGTCTTCTGTTTGCCCCGCCGTTTGCCTGAGGTAATTTCCTGAATCCAGCACCGAGCATACGAATGGCTGAGCTGACCCTTTTGACAGTGAGTTCACCTTTGTCTGCAACGTCGGCATCCACAAGAACACGTGTCTTGTCCTCAGGAGACACTACAGATCCACGCAGCGTCACATACGCTTGCAAGTCACTCAACTGAAATTTCTTGGAATTCAACTGAGTCCAAATAATGTCAGCACGTGCCAGATACGAATCTGCACTCTCATCGCTCTTTTGGGAACATCTGTGCAATGCTCGTTCAGCAAACTCATAGCGCTGCTCAAGGTCAATCTGACCCCAGTGGCCACCAAGGAGCTCAACAATGCGATGTATGGACTTTCGATCGTTGGCAATCAACTCAGATTGATGCAATTGCAACTTCTTGAAGGCTGATCCTGTGCAGTTCAAGATTAGCCGGGTGGCTAACTCAGTGTACTTCCCAACAGGCCAAGCTTCCAGTAGCAAGGCAACCTTCTGTTGATAAACCTGGAGGTCATCTTTTCCTGGGTCCAATGACGGCACTAAGATTGCTAACTGGTTGGTGACATTTCCTGACGAACTCTCACTGGCGGATGCTTCAGTTCCGGCGGAGGTTTCAGGCATGATCACCGACTGTCTTCTTCCACCCTGGATTCAACCGTTCTTTCGGTAGCTCCGCTACCAGTGTAAATGGGATCGGATCCCCAAGTACACTGGCAGCTGCTCCCAAGACACCTTCATAACAGGCAAAAGCAGTCGTTTTCCTCGACCACGCAGCACAAAAGTCACAGGTAACGTCCACAGGCAGTTTGGGTTGCAACCCAAGGCCGAAAGGCCAGAAGGTAAAGCACCCTGGCTTTCTAAAGAGCGTCCTCGCTCCACTCCAAGAGCTTAAGCACGGATGAATCCCCAGCCCTCCCACCTCTGGCACTCCTGAGCGAATGTGCTGGCACGAAGAAACTGTGTTTTTCCCTGAAGTGAAGCGAAGAATGCCTTGCAGGGTGAATATCGGACCACTGGTTGCTGCAACGAGGTGGAATCACAATATACCTATATACATACATACATACCTACATATCTACATATATACATATATACATATTTACAAATATACATATATACAGTACACATATATACACAAATACACAAATACACATATACACATATATACATATTTACATATTTACATAGATACATAGATACATAGATACATAGATATATAGATACATATATACATATATACATTTTTACATATATATACATATATGCACATGTGTATACATGTATATACTTACCACATCATCTGAAAGCAACTGTTCAAAGCCCTCAGCAGCGCGATCCAAACACTCTTTTTAGCACATGGGGAATTCGGGTCAGGTGCTGGACAACGGCGGGGTTCGGCCCCTCCGGTGACATGAAATTAAATGTAAAAAGCGAGAAGGTAGGTGCGATGATCACCAGTCCAAGTCGACCAATGGCGCTCTGCCATGTCGCACAAATTCGGCATTGAGTGCCCTTTGAAGTGCTGCCGGCCGCTGAAGTTTGACCAAAGAAATGTAGACGATTGTCTGTCGGAGGGAACGAATCGACTGACGAATGGCTGGCAAGGCACCTGGCACTGGTGTGTCCTCTAGCCAATCTTCGAGCTCCATCAAGGCATTCAACGCCTGGAGATTGCGATCCGCAATGAGGACTGGATAGATGAAGTCCTGCAAGGCAACTGGCTGACGAGCAGGTAGAAGAGACATGGAGGCGATAGGGGAAGGACGGTGGGCAAGATCGTGCAGATGCTGGGCCAAGACTTCCATGAACGAACTTCACATGAGTTCCAATGAAACCAGTGTACATCACTGACAGCAGCTGACACAAACAAGATGCAAAGTTGAACAGTTGACGAACATCACGTGTTCTAAATTCAGACTCTGTTGTAAGGTGTTATGATTACGCTGCACTCCATGAGAAGCAACTTACCACATCATCTGAAAGCAACTGTTCAAAGCCCTCAGCAGCGCGATACAAACACTCATTTTAGCACATGGGGAATTCGGGTCAGGTGCTGGACCCCCTGTTTCGACCTGTCCCGACATCTGGAAGCAAGTCACGGAGGAATGACACGGGATCAACATTGATCCTCAAGGATGGCGGAAAGTGGTCACATTTGCCACGTGATGGATCATCCGCTATGTTTGAATGACTTGCCACCCGCTCGTACCAGCACACTGCCCTCACATCAAATTCCCACTGAAGGATCGCCCCAAACAACGCATTGTCAAGCGTCGAGCTGCCGGCCCCTGATACAAGACGTGCCAAGGAAGATTCAGTGTCTAGAAAATGACCACACGGTCCCAAGGTCTCACCGCCATCAGAGGCAACAACTGTGTTACACCAATTGCCGTTGCAAGAGTTTCGAGCTCGAATATCAAGCCCTTCTTCCCTAGAGGATTGAGAATTGACACTTCCTCAGGGGGACATCCTGTCAGAGAAAAAAGACAACATTGTCCCGGTCTCATCAAAGAGAACGCCACCAAGGCCCCCTGAACCCTCTTCAAAACAAGCGTCGGTGTACAAGCGATACACCCGTCCAACATCTGCAAGGATCCTTCGGGGTTCTCCGGACAGAACTGTCCCTCAGGAAGACAAGGCTATCGCGGAAGCTGTCATCAACACCCCCGCAAGTCTTCCAAAGATCTGGGACTCCGCGAACACGAGACGGCCTCTCAAGGTTCTCATCTCAGCCATAGTCAGGGCGCCCCGCCCAAGGATCTCATCAATGGTAGACACCAGCTCACGCACCCTGCTTTCCACATTGTGGACGACAGCAACACCCAAGTGAGCTTCGGCCAGGTCTATTTGCACACCCAAGATCCGGGACATAGCATTGAAGTCGCCTTCTTTCTCATCAGACGTCCTCCACCCCAGAAGCATGAAGAGCAGTTGCTGGGCCAAATCAATGTGTTTCGCCTCGGACACTTCCACCACCAAGAATTAATCATCAAAGTAAACCGTCCAGTGCAAACCAAAGATGACAACTCCAATTCGCCAGATGGCATATGATGTTCTACACAGAACCCCATCACCACTGCCCTCGCCCCGAAGGGGAGCACCAAAGTCTGAAAAGCTTGTGGCTTCCCTTCTGATGGGAAAAAGACCCGCAATGTATGCATCTTGCAAGGAGCTCAGTGATAGGGGAAGGTTCCTGTAGGCCTTGCGCAAGTCAATGGTCTTGCAAACCAATTCATCGCCCGGCCTCACCCTCATTCGCTTCACCAGAGAGGCACATATCTGGTCAACCCCCATCGGCTGGATGGTCTCATCACACGAGTTGGTCACATTGATGAGGGACTCTGAGAAGTCATCAATCGGTCCAAACTTCATGACCTTCACCCCATCTGAACTCGAGGAAGATTGCTTAACTCCAAATCTCCTTGTCTTCTCGGGCAGCTCATCAAAGGAAAGAGGGCCCCTCATCCAGCCTTTTGAGGTCTCTTCAAGGGCGGAGTCGTAAATTTCTTGACACATTGCATCATCCCTGGAGCGTCTGACCGCATTCCATGTTGCCTCACGTGCAAGAGGTGCCATGTCTCGCACCTTTTCAGGAAGCAAGGTGGCATATAGAGGCTTGTTTGGGTATATTCCACCCGAGGGCATTGGTCCCATCAAGTCGAACCCTTTGGCCACGTCCTCCGCTATCTTGACATCTGGCGAGCCAGAGGCCTCAACCATCTCAGCGAACAGCTTCATGTTCTTGTCTTTCAAGATGAGTTTGGCATGGTCCGATGCACCTTCAAGACCGTCACACCCAAGGGACTTCAGTTCAGCCAATCTGAGTGTCCATTTCCTCATGGCTGCAGTCCTGTCTTGGGCCAACGAGTGAGCAGATGCCGTTGACATCTTGTCGAACAAACCAAGCAAGACCTCATGCACACCAAGAAAGTAGCCAGGGTGCGACAGGCCACTGGCTCGCTTGACAAACTCCATGGGCTCCCATGGTATGCCAAATTCCACTTGATAGCTTGGAGCTGAGTCATGTAATATCTGCCCCACTTCTCCCCCCTGTAAAATTGGGGTTTGTAGTAGTTTGGCATGGGCCGGCAAGACCAGGATTGGTGGGTTGGACTGGCAGGTGGCCGGCAAAACTAAAGGCTTATCCACAATCTTGGGGAGTGCTGCAAGTGATTCCAGCGGTCCGGTGAGTCGGACGGTGTAGCTGTCCTCTCTCATCAGTGAGCGAAGACGTTTGCCTCGCACATGCACACACAGTGACTCCTTGGCCAAATGGTTGAGATTGGCAGAAGTGTCTTGCAGCATCTCATTGGGGAGGTCAATCGCCCCATGTTGAACGGCCGCCAGTCGAAGGCACTGTGCCCATTCACGGCAAAGGCCAGTTGGGTACTCAACTTCAAGTGATGTTGCCCACCCATTGGGTGTATGTCCCCAAGGTTCATGAGTATGATTGTCGTCGCAATCACGATGGGCGATGGAGATGTTTGAAGCACTCATGGTTCACAAGAAGCTGCGTTCGTTTTCTTCTGCGTCCACCAAACATGCAGTGGTGAAACTGCACTTTAAAGAGTTGCAGAGAGAGGTGTCCAATTGCCGATTGTAAATACGTGGTGTCCCACATATGTGAGCGTGCGGAATTCTCAAGAGAACAAAGAATCCCATTGGCCGTAGCAAACGCTAGCACTTCTCCACTGAGTCTGTAAAGCTGGTTTGCACTGGTCACGTGCAGGCAGGTTGGGTAGCCCAACAGCATGCTGAGTGCTGCGCAGCGGCTTAGGGCTGAATCTGCGTTTGATCTCTCTGGCCCGGGAACTAGTCCGGGCCAAGATGTATTGCGAACACTCTTGGCTGTCTCAGGATCCTCCATAAGAGCTCTTGTCCTTGATCAGTGGCTAAATTGATGCGGATGACAGGGGCCTTCACTTGTTTCGTGACGTGAGCGTCAATGCCAGCCCCATGCTGGCACCCAAGTCTTCTGACTGCTGCGGTCAATCCCGCAGTTCCGGAGAAAACCTCGATGAACACTAAGTCAGTGAAGTTGTGGCCCTTTACCCTGTTGGAAAACTGCTGTGTGAAACTGGATGTATCAGACATTGCATCAAAACTGCGCTTGACCCCTTGATCAAGCTGGGGTTTCACAGCGGGATCTGTGGCAGCACATGGCAAGGGTTGCTGTGGGTGCCCTTGCCCTGCCGTCGGTTGTCAAGCCATGGTGCATTGGTACGCTGGGTGCGCACCAAAACATTTCATACAGCTGTGCATTCCCTTCTGGCATGACTGGCCTGCTGTGGCCTGATCGCAGCCCTTGTGCATGTTGAAGTTGTAGCACATGCGACGGCCGGATTTGTCCTGCTGGTGCAATCCGATCAATTCTGTTGGCATCTTCCCCTTGGCAGAGGGTTTGCCCTTTGCACCCTTGCCTCGGCCTTTGGCCGGCTTCAGCTTGTCTTTTTTCTTGACATTGGAGGGCTTCGGAGCGGCATCATCTGCTTTGGGGGCAGCGGTCTTCGGCTGAGTGGTGCCCTTCTCAATTGGCAAAGGAACCAGATGAAACATCACGGACGGGTCACTCTGCAAGGCCGTCAGAGCCTGGCCAAGGGGAAGAGTACCATCTGCCTTTCTTTTCAAAGACAACAAACGCTCAGCCATCTTGACCCACCCTGCTCGGTCAGTGCGCAGGATTTGCTCCATGTTGGGAGGTCTGAAGCCAGGCGGAGCAGGAGATTGCATCTGATCGAGGAGGTGTCTGTGCCAACGTTCCATCTCCCTGTAAGTGCAAACTTGCATAAGATCACATGCAAGTGCTCTCCTTGTGAAAGCCTGGTGCAACTGGAGCTCATTGCTGATCTGGCACTTGTCCTTCGGGACCACATCCTTCACTGTCAAGTTGATGTAGTCTAAAACCAGTGCCTTTCCTGGCTTTTCCCTGGCAGCTTCACTTGCACGTGTTGTGAACCTATGAGGCTCGAGGTACATCGGGTGTCATTCTCCAACATTCGTGCAACATAATCAAAGGAAGCATGTGAACACTCAAGAGGTCCTGTAAGCTCAATGCCTTGCAATCGCACCTTCTGGTTTTCGATGCGAGTTGCCCTTTCGGCCGGTACCAGTTCGGCCTTCTTGCCAGCATCAGTTTCATGCAGTGGGGTCTTGATCTGAGAGGCACAAAGGGTTTGTGCATCAAACATCAAACGTCTGATGCTGCTCAACTGTCCTACCGTCACATTGTCAACATTGTCATCAAGCAGGGCCTTGAGGGCATCGTCTGATGGGACTGTTCCAGGTGTCGTCAATGAAAAAGCCAGCTTCGACATGTTTGCGAGCCCTTGGTCCTTCAATCGATCCAGGTGTGGCACCGAGAGCCCATGTTCGAGAGCCCTTGCAGAGAAGGCTGCTTCTGATTCCAGAATTGTCGCCATCGCAACAGTGGGCAAATCGGGTAAAACTTGGGTAAGCAAGTTATCTTTTTCTCGGACAATTCAAGTCTCTGCAAGAATAATTTCAAGCTCTTTCCCTTTTTTATTGACTTGATGCATGACCATGACATTTCAAATTCGACTTGGTCCGCACTCAAGGCATGAACATACACTGAATGGTGGTGACCATCACATCGATGGTGGACATGCATTTCGTGATCCGTGCCGTACACATCTGGTGGCACACACACCTGGATCCACTTGCAACAAACACATCTGTTCAGTTGCTTCACCACCCTTCCTTTTTATACCGCAAAAGTCTCATGGCCGTATTGGCCAGCTTCCGTTGATCACGAGTGCCGTGCTCGTTTCACAGCCGCACTGGCAGAGGCCACTTGTTCACTTTCGGCTGTAGGCTGTTGCCCTTTGTTGCATTGCTGACACTTCGTGGCCTCCACGAAAAACTCACGAGTGAAGCGCTTGTACTCTCCAGTAAGGGCCCGGCCGCAGACAAAGGCTCTGCGATGTCCAAATTTCGAGTAAGCATGCACCAACTTCGACTTGGAATGTTGAAAAAGCTCGCAGCCTGGGTGCCACTGGTTGGTCGGCCTCTCACTGGTGGCCATCTCCAGGATAACCTGCTCTGTCTCAGACTCGCTCGAACAGGAGGATGAGTCTGCGTCAGCTACCTCAAGAGTCTCATCGGGAGCATTTGGAACCTCTGATGGTGCGGCAAACAGGTCTGTCTCCGCTTGTCCCATGCTGGGTAACGATGTGTCATCCCCACCCATCGGCTCCTGGTTGTCCTCCAAGGGCGAGGTTGGTGTCGGCACAACCTCACTCGTGGCAGCATGGCCCACGTGTGGGATTGGAGTGAAGAGTCCAGATCTAGTGACATCAGGGGAGAACCTGCCATGTCTGATGTCCTTCAGCTCCAGCACGCGCAATGGTGCACTTTGCAAGTCACGTGCGTACACTTCAAGAGCCCCTTTTGTTGACCTGGTGGTGACCAAGGATGAGGCGGTCATCTGGTGCAGCACCATATCAGCTGAGCATCACAAGCGTTGTGGCCTTGCATCCATGTGGTGTGAACCCATCCGGTATGAAGTCCGGGCATTGCTCAAGAATTCCACGAAGCCATTTGCCAATCTCTGCTGACGTAGTTGGCCTGTCAGACCAGTCACCGATGACTGTCGGCGCAGGCAACAGTGGTCTGCCCGGGATCCATTCTTTGAGGTTCAGTCCAGTCATCCTTGCCACTTCCACGAAGTCACGACCCCAGGCTCTGTCACCCAATCCTTTGATGGGAGCTATCTGCGGCAAGCGGGCCCCCAGTGGGTTGCCAGTTGCCCTCATCTTATGTGAATCTGAGTGCAGCTCGAGGAATCCCAATGACTCGTCTTTGTTCTCCTGGACCTCGTCGACAATCACCTTCGCAATGCGTCTGAGGTCTCCAAAACGAGCCCTGGCGTACACAGCAAACAAAAAGACGCCTGCCGCAAATCTGTCAACCAGCGCCCTTTTGGAGTCATACAAGAAGTTCTCAAGAAACAGAATGGATTTAACATTCAGTGTTGTGGATTGCTTGCGCAACGGCCGTGCCTGCTGTGAAGCATGGATAATGAGTCGAAGGCTGCCATATCACAGTCAAGTCCAACCACATGCTTCATGAACTTCATAACTTCAACAAAGCCTTTGAAGGCCGTATGGCCCGCTCCATTGTTCCTCAAGTGACGTATGTAATCCTTGATGAGCTCAGCCGACACAGGGAAAGGCTCCCGCTTGGCATCTTTGTGGGCCCAGTTCACAAACCTCGTGATCTGTGAGAGCCTCCTGGTCAACGTACCCGGTGACTTGCCCCCCAAGACTTCTGCAACGATCTTCACTCGTTCATGATAAGGGAGGCCAAACACCTGTAGACCCAGGTCAAAGGACGAGTAGTTGATTGATATCAGTGACTCCCACCTTTGGGAGAGCATATCCAGTTGGCATCTTTCACTGAGGTGGCAAGCTCTCTTTGAGTTGAAGGCAATGGCATCGCTGTAAAAAGTTGGTTTGCTGTGGATCACAGCCGCTGGTTCAAGATGTGGCCCAGACGTAGGCTCGCAGGGTTCAACATAGTCCCCAACTGGTTGGATGTTGGGGATCACATCAATGCCATCACTTCCAAAGATCCAACTCATGCTAGGCTGCTCCCAAGGCATCAAGATCTCACCAGGTCTGGATGTCGCCGCATGGGCATCTGAAATTGCATCATGCATGCATCTCCTGAAATCGTCAGAGACCTGCCTGTTCGCCGTATCCCTGTCACCTAGAGGATCGTGACGTCGGCGGTCTTCAGTCACGTCAAACCTCTGATTGGCACCCATGATGTCACCTGCCAGGCACATCGACTCAACACGCTTAAATCAAAAGAAGTTTCAAAACACTGAGGGATAACACCCCAATCAGCTGCACAGATCACACAAGAAAGGAAATATACCGGCAATGCAATTCGATCCCACCTCGGTGCCTCTATGAAGGTCCTGCCACGTGTTGACACACCAAACTACAAGCCAGTTGTCTAGTCCACATGGGACACTCACATCGAGTGTTGGGCTCCTGTTCTATACGGCCCAGGCAACCCAGGCAGGTACACAGCCTGGTCAAAACATGGGTATAGTTAAGGTGATGCAAAGGTCAGCACAGCGGATGACCAATAGTCATTCAGGCCAAGGCCACACCAAAACCCAATCGCAACTCCACCTGCGTTGGACCTGAGACACATCAGGTTGGGTTGCCGACACATGGTCACATGTTGCACTGAGTGACATCCACCAGTGCTAAGGGGTTGGCCAACACTTCAGCCTGAGAGCTGTTCACATCACTGATTTCAAAGATGGCAACATTCGCCAAAATGTTGACACGACACATGCGCCGTACGACACTGAGGTAGGAGCTCAATTTCCGCCTGGACAAATCAGCAACATCAGGTGAGTTTTTACCCACATCCACATCGAGCACATTCCGAACACCAGGACATCCCTGAGGTGTCGGCCTGGAATCCACCCAACCTGCAGCAGGTTGCAGTGGACATTCACATCAGCTCTGCTATCTGGGCTATTTGACACATTGCCAGTTAGCACGCATCTGCATACTGAGGTTCGGTCACACACGAAAAAAATTGGGCGGTAGTCTGAATTCGCCAAGGGAAACATGATGTCCGAGGGGTGCAAAAACTGAGAGTGGACATCCACTTGACAATGTCTCTGCAACATCTGCAAAGAAACTCAACCACATCGGTCAAGCTCACTCAAAAGTCACTCCCCCCTGACGGCTATCACAAATTTCATACGTTGCTCAAAAGTCTGGCAAGCCATCTGTGCAGCAACTGAATTTGAATTAAATTGGTGTGCAAAGAGATTAGGAACCACAAAAAATTGTTCCTGAACAAAATTGGCAACGAATTGAACGTCCTACAGAAACCAGCCTATCAAAATCTGTAAGCCAGGCCTAGAAACGTTCAAACAGTGCCTACAGAGCTAACTCTATTTGGTCCCATAAATTTCTACCCCAGCTGAACTACAACATATCAAGGCCTGATGTGTTGTCTGCCATTCACCTGCAGAATCTACACAGCTATACAGCGTTCCATCGTGACCCAACCGCAAACTGATTCACCTTGTCGAGACGCAAATCCCCCAGAATGGTCAAAGACAATGTGAAGTTCAATTGCGCAAGCCAAACAACACTGCTGCTGTATCATCCCGAGCTGCCAAGTACTCGGTCACCTGGCCCCCAGTCTGTTGTTCGCCGCTGTCAACTCTTGGTCTTGGCGAGCGAGTTGCTGTCGCAGGGCCCGGGTCTCCTGCTGCAAGGCGAGCACCTGGGCATCTCTCTGAAGGATTTGGGCCTGAAAGGCATTGATTGCCGTGTGCTGCTGCGACTGAAGCTCGACCAACTCGATCGTGTTGAGAAGGTTAAGCTCCACATGTGTCTGTCGCCGCTCCTGAGCTCCAGCGACCCAGCCGAAGCGGTTGCCACAACTTCTGACCACATCTGTTGCCTCCCGAAAAAGGTCCTTGTCGGTGAAAGTGAGCCAAATTCGGGTCGCCGGGGACAAATCGCTATCCCATGGGATCCACTGCGTCGCTAGACGTTCCAGCGCCGGCGGGCGCATTCTGTGAGCTGGCTGCGAAGTTGGCATGATGCATGCATTCAGATCGCAGCTCGCATCTCCCAACCCCAGCCCTTCCAGCACATCATTGAGAGTGAAGAGATTGTCGGGGCGAAAGGGATAGCGGATGGTCAAAGTCTCCGGCGAAGGAACTGCATCGACCATGGGATGGAGACAAAACGGAGTGGCAAGATCGCGCAAATGCTGGGCCAAAACTTCTGAAACCAGTGTACATCACTGACAGCAGTTGACACAAACAAGATGCAAAGTTGAACAGTTGACGAACATCACATGTTTTCAATTCAGATTCTCAGATTCTGTTACAAGGTGTTATCATTACGTTGTACTCCATGAGAAGCAAACATGTGTGTACATGTATATACATGTGTATACATATGTATACATGTGTAGACATATGTATACATGAATGTTATATGTATATGCACGTGTATGTATTTATGTAAATATTAAAATATTACATTACTGTATATTGCATTACATCACATCAAATCACATCAAATCACATCATATCACATCATATCATATCATATCATATCATATCGTATCATATCGTATCATATCGTATCGTATCATATCATATCATATCATATATCATATATCATATTATCATATTATCATATTATCATATCATATCATATCATATCATATCATATCATATCATATTACATACATACATATCGTAAGCAGGTGCTGTAAGCATCTGTAAGCATTGTTTTTCCAAGGTACTCGAAAGACAGGAGTCCGGAATTCTGAAATTTCTCGCAGAATGAACTGCCCTTTCCAGCACTATCCACCTTCAAGTTCACGACAACGAGAAAATGCACTGATGTCGTTTTAAATTCTACAAGGGACAGCCGGGACAGCCTTCAAAAACTAATTTGAAAGACGAAGCACGAAGAAGGCGTGGTAGTTCAAGACTGTTCAAGAGTGACTGTTCACCAATAAAAACTCAGAACTTCAAATGGGTTCCCTACCACTCACTTCGGAGCCCTTTGATTGGGTCCCTGATGCCAAACCGACACTGCGCCTTGATGCAAATGAACAGATCGGGCTCAGAGCCTTGACCTTAACGACAGGAGGACAGTGGAAAAACCGCTGTGACAGGCTGTCACATGCACAGGGCACAACGACGGCAATCTTTGTTTGCACTGACTTTAGAAAACCACACGGCAAAACACACATAGATCGACATGTTCCTTGCGCCACTTTTTCTTGCAGTGTTGGTACATATATTACCATCCCTGGAAACTGAGTTTGGAACTCCACACCATCACTTCACAATGAAGGTGGCTAAGCGAAGGGATTTCCTTCAAGTCTGTGGGTTGCACCCATCGAATGGACCTTGGAGCGGAGGATATCCGGTATAAGGTCTATTCAACACACAACAACATACATCATGTATGGTCAATATTGAGTTGAAACTATGCAAAATTGAAATCACACTCAAGTTGTGAATTCGGTTCTGGTAAGTTTTGATTTGTTATTGATGCATTGGAACAAAAAAAACATTTGAAAATGTGTGTGTGTCTGTCGAGTTCCATGCAATTTGCAACACTTCAATTGATCAAAATCGGACACGTTCATGCAAAACCATCGGCTTTATCCATGATTCCTCAATACTCATGCAATAAATCAGTCACAAACTGTTTCCAGGCCACGAATCCGCCACAACAAATTTGAAACAGCAGGAGATGAACAAAATTAACCATGGCCACCGCTGAAACATCACTGCAACGTTGATTAAACGCGTACCTGGAAGTCATTTGGCAAAACAACACATGGAACACACCATTGTTGGACACAATGGTCATAAAGCAAACACTGAAATTTCAATTTCCTGCAATTGGTTTTGGTACTTTTGGATATATGTTGCTAACTCCTGTAGGCCCTCCGTTTTTGTGCCAAAAGTCCATTGCGTGCTTGCAAGATTCAACATACGTGGTGCGTGACAGTGGCGTATTTGCTGTTCACACAATGGTTTCCGTTGCTTCAACTTCCCAACATTGACTTAGAGTAGACAACATTCAACACAAGAGCTGCCGCAAAGGTGCATAATTCATAATTAATTTGTTTTAGGCGTGGTGCAATAGTTAGGTCTGATCCTGTACATACTAATATGAACCAGCAGGTCCGATATGTACAGATAGACAGATAGACCTACTCAAAATACCCCCAACAACACACGACCAAACAACCCTGAAGCTGGGGCATAATAAGATCGATGTACTGAGGTAGGGAGTTCCCAAAGCACCACTTCAAATGCCACAGAACGGTAGACCATAGGGGATGGTGGTGGGAAAACGAAATCAACATGGGAAATTTGAAGCGAAAACGGCAACGGACCAAACAGGAATATTCCAGGTCCCACGTGTGAACACCTATGTACAAGTACTTATCACCCTCACAAACGCTGGTGAGCCAATGCATGTAAAGAATGGATTGCTGAAGCTGATCGAGGTGCATCGACTGACATCCAAGGATATGCATTCTGAAAACTGTCGTTGAAATCTTTTTGAACCCAATGGGCAAGCTCAGAGCCTGTTATTCAGGCACCAGGGTTTGGCCACGTTCCCTGGACAAATGCGTTGATTCACGCGGTTTGAAGTATCAAGTAGACTGCAACGCTTGTTCACGAGGAAGTCTTTGAAGGAAAAGACTGACACTGCCACGCTTGACGAAGAAGGTGTCAAACAGAGATTGCAATCGGCCAAAAGGGTGGCCAGAGGGTGGGGCGCGATTGCAAATCTCAAAAGAAAAAACATCTGTTACCACATTCAGTCATCTGAGTTGCAAGAAATTGAAGTGAAGCTGAACTGCATGAAATTGACTGTAAAACCTGACATGTACGAAAGCAAGTGACCAGAAGCAATACTTGATCCACACAGCTGATATGCATCCATATCTTGTCACGGGTGATAATTCGTTATCAAGCTTGACCACTATATTATCACCCTCACAAACGCTGGTGAGCCAATGCATGTAAAGAATGGATTGCTGAAGCTGATCGAGGTGCATCGACTGACATCCAAGGATATGCATTCTGAAAACTGTCGTTGAAATCTTTTTGAACCCAATGGGCAAGCTCAGAGCCTGTTATTTTCCCCACTTTTCGTTCAACGCTCTGAGTTGGGCCCAACATTCTTCACCACTGACGTCGCATCTGGATGCACCCATTGAGATCACTTTATTGCA